GTTAGACCTTCAAAAATAAATATCGGGGTATGATTTACTAAATTATGGAGGACGTCATTTGGAAAGTTGATTATCTACACACTCTTTCCTTTTTGTAAGGATTAACTGAAAAAGTATTCCTTAAGGACTTTGCTGATTATTCCTCTACTTGACTTTATGGGGACTCTGAATTCACTCAGCACAGTGGGATAAAAATGTAACCTAAAACATGTAAGGGCAAAGTACATTTAAACAATCAACAAGCAAGTATTTGTGGAGTTTCTGTAAGACAAAATTCCTGCTTGTGGACTGGTTTAGACTTGAGAGGTAGGACATACGAAGCTACGGAAAGGTTTAGAACAAGCTCAGCCTGTGAAATAAACAGACTGGTAGTTATCTCAACGTGGAGACAATCCCAGGGCCTTGATCGCAAGTGCCTGGCGGGATAGCGGCACCACTAACATAGGTAGAAGAAGCTGGAAAAAAACAAAAATTTCTGTTTCAGAAAAACTGAGTTCAAGGGATAACAAGATCACAAGTTCAGAAAATATTACCTGGACAGGCATGTTGGCTGCAGCCAGTATTCTCCTCTCTTCCCTTAAACAATTTGAGATAACCACAGCTACATGCATTGGATTTCCATGAAATTTTCCCTGAAAAAAAGTGAGCAAAAATAACATAAACACTTAAATACATGCATCGTAAGAAAAAAATCATTGCTTGAAAATCAATAATTATCTCCCAATAAATATGTAAAATTATTTGGGATTTACTCCAACAATCTGTTCTATAATAAAGCTATAGAAACTCAGACTGTGAACATAGATGCCTAAAGAGAGCATATTTCTCTCTTTGTCCTCAAAAATCACTTTAACAATTAAAAATGATTCTTGAACACCTCTTTAGGAAAGACCCCGAACACAGACTCAGGAGGGTCAGTTTACTTTAGGCTTAGGGCAGGTATTGAATATAAGAGTAACTTCCCTATAAATTATCAGGAAGCAGGTGGTCCCAGCTGTTCATTTGTTAACTCTGTGCATCATGGTCTGCTTTGTTTTGGTCCCTGTTTGGTGCTGTTCACGTCAACTAGCTCATAACTGTATTGGTATACTAGAGTGCAACTATACCACACATTTCACCAATAATATTTTTATGACATCTAACCATAAACATCTTTTTTTAACCAAGGTGAATGGTGCAGATATTGCACACTGGCAGCCTGTGGGCCTAATTCAGCCGCCAGGCACGCTGTGTATATTAAAATCCTGGAATCCCCAGGGTTGCCACAGTGCACACCAGTGAGTCCCGAGCACTCATCTACCTTACCTGCAAGGCCTCTGTGGGTGTCTGAGTTTTCTAACCTTGATTTACAGGACTAATATTTGAACACCACCATCATTTTACTTAATAGTGGCAAATTTCTTTGTTACTGGATTTTTTCCTAAGGCAGGATTAACAGGAAGCACAGTGGACAAATGCACTTATTCAGTTTCCTTCTGCCCTCCTCTTTCAAGGTGGTGCTAATATCCATGAAATGGACAAAAGGTCAAGAGCAGAAAAAATGAAATAATAATTCACAAAATGAAAAATTAACTACTAATCAAAAGGAGAAATGAATGGTAAGCCAAAGGGTCTTTCTAGGGAAAAAACGAGGTTATTGGTTGTAAACATTTTTATGGCTGTGACTGCTGCCCCAATTTTATCAGATGGTGCACCTTAATTAACACTGCTGTTTGTAAAACCAGGGTAAATACCAACTACCTGGATTCCTGCTCTTACATATTCTACAGTCTTCAAAACTTTTTTCTCCTTTAAATCAAAAATCTCCAAAAGAAAAAACAAAAATGAATTAACTGAAACTTAAAAGGTAAAAAAATGAAAATTATCCCATTATTAAGCAGGGATATCAAATTTCTGGTTTCTGCAGGTTGACAATTTCAGAGTCTCTCAAGTTAGAACTTTCTCCTGCTGTTAATTTTCCCATCTATTGATTTTTTTTATAACTTGTATTTCATTCCCAAGGAAAAGTTTTATTTCCTCATTTTGCATTCGATATATTTAAAAATTGTTCCATTGTTAAAAATAAATGCCTCCTTCTATGGATAATTTGGAAACTCTGTTATTAATGTAAACTTAAAAACTTTTCCCATCCAAGATCAAGAGTTCCTCTAAGAACCCAAGAATTGTCATTATTTGTCTTCGTTTTTCTCATTGTTACCGGAGTATTTCCATGTTGATCATTCAGATACTACCTTGCAACATTTCTCAGTTCTGTTGTACACTTTTTCATTTTCCTTTTTTACCTGAACTTTCTTTTACCTTCCTTTTCAGATTCAGTTTCCCCCATATCTCGTAAGGTTAAATTACTCATTTTTTCTCCTTTGTTAAGAGCCAGGAATCACCACTGTTTTCATCTAGGATATCTTTTCACTTTCCTTTTGCATTTTTCCTAACTTAGTTGCTCACTTAAACATATGAGACAAAAACATATTATGGAAAATTTATCACTATAGATTTAATACCAAATGAGTACTTTATTTTCCTAAATATCAAAGATCATGTTCACCTTTCAGTAGTTTCCAAGTACTCGAAACAACAGCAACAAAACAAACCCCTAAGTGTGTGTTGGTGGAAGGTAGGAAGGAAGGCAATGCCAGAGAAAGAGAAACTGCCCATTTTCTATAGTGTATCAGTCTCTCTCATGCATATGTATTGCAAAGACTTTTTCCTCTGGCTTGTTCTTTTCCCGTCTTCTAGTGTCAATGACCAGAAGTTATTAATTTTAATAAAGTCCTTTATTAATTTTTTCCTTTATGGTTGTTCTTTTTATGACTTGATCAAGAAATCTTTCCCTAAGCTGCAGTCATGGAGATTTTTTTCCTATATTATCTTTTTAGTCTTTGTGGTTTTGCCGTTAATTGTAATTCACTTGAAGCTTGTTACTAATAAGAGGTTCCTTTCACTTTTTTCCGTACGGATACCTGGTTCCAACAGCAGTTACCGAACATTCCGTTCTTTCACCACCACTCCGCTGGGCCAATGTGTCACAAATCAAGTGTCCATGTGCGGGTGGTCTTGCTTCTAGACTTCATTCCATTTTATGGGTCTATCTGCTTCATCAACAGATTATCTTTATTACTAGAGCTTTGTAATAAGTCTTGAAGTCAAGTAGAATAGGTTTCCTTTGCATTTCCATATAATTTTAGAATCAGCTTGTCAAGTCTCATATAGACACACACATGCACACACACACACACATGCATTCTGGTTGAGAGTTTGAATGACACTAAATCTTTAGATAAATTTAAGGAGATTTCGCATCTTTATAATTGTGTTCTAATCCATTTATTTAGGTCTTCTTTAATGTCTATTTAAATTATAATATTCTACATAGGAATCTTATACATCTTTTGTTAGGCTTATTTCTATGTAGTTTGTATTTATTTATTTATTTATTTTTGGAGACAGAGTCTTGCTCTCTTGCCCGGGCTAGAGTGCCGTGGCGTCAGCCTAGCTCACAGCAACCTCAAACTCCTGGGCTTAAGCAATCCTTCTGCCTCAGCCTCCCAAGTAGCTGGGACTACAGGCATGCGCCACCATGCCCGGCTAATTTTTTCTATATAGTTTTAGTTGTCCAGCTAATTTCTTTCTATTTTTAGTAGAGATGGGGTCTCGCTCTTGTTCAGGCTGGTCTCGAACTCCTGACCTCGAGCGATCCTCCCGCCTTGGCCTCCCAGAGTGCTAGGATTACAGGTGTGAGCCACTGCACCTGGCCTAGTTTGTATTTTTTAATACTAGAACAAATATCTATCTTTCCTAATTGTTTTTTGCTAGTATATAGAAATATAATTGATTTTTGTATAATGATTTTGAATCCAGCAACCTTGTTAAACCCTTATTGATCCTAATAGTGTATCTGTAATATCTCTTATCAATTCTAAAATTTTATCTGTAGGTTCTTGTGGATTTTGTGCACACACAAGTCACATCTTATATAAACACTAATAGAATTTTTCTTCTTTTTGGTTATCTAATTTCCATCAGGTTTTTGCCTTTGTCCTAAGACTTTAGAATTTAGGAATGTATCAGTTAATTCTCAAATATAGGAATTTTCTATTTATCTTTCTTTTTTTTTTTTTACTGATTTCTAGGATAATTTAGTGATCCCTTTAAATTTGTTGAGACTTATTCTGTGGTCTAGCATATGAATATTTTGTAAATGTTTCATGTGAGCTTGTGAAAATGTATTTTCTGCAGTTGTTGGCTGCAGATGTTTTATACAGGTTCATGAAACCAAAGTTGTTAATTGTTTTGTTTGAATTTCTGTCTCCTTGCTGATTTGTTTGAATTTCTGTATCCTTGCTGCTTTTTTTGCCTGAATCATGTTATCAGTTATCGAAAGAGATACGTTAAAATCTACTTTGTGAATTTTTCTCCTTGTGGTTCTGTCATACACATTTAGACTTTTTGCATTTACTGGTGAGTAAAATCTTTCATTACTACAAGCTGACCTTTATCTCTGATAATGCTTTTTGCCTTTAAATAAAAATATAAACTGTATTATAATGCTTTTCATCACCCAGATTCTTATTGAAAGAACTCGATTTATTTCAACATAAATATAGATATTTAATCATATATCAGTATTGTGCACATATAAAAGGGAAACCGTACATGAAATAAATTGGCTAATGTCTTCCTAAAATTCTGTACTTATTTGAATTAAACTTTTCTGAATCTCTTTTAAACTCAGATTCATTGGCACACATATTTTTCCATAAAATAATGTCCTTTGGGCCATCAAGAATGTCAGTGGTCCCTCATTTCTTTAGAGTGTGCACAACTATTATCTTCATTCTGTCAGTTTTGATGGTGTCACTTTTCTGATCTTACCAGAATTTCTCAGTACATGGTTTTGAGACAAGAACCAGAACTCACATTCCATCTGCAAATGGTCTTTAAATGGTTTGTTGACTGAAACATTAAGAGATTGTAATGCTCTGGTTATACTGTCATGATTAACAACCACATCAACCACATGATTAACAACCACATGATTAACAACCACATCACTATACTTATAGGTGAGATTATTATTTCACTCTTCAGATAGATGTCCATGAAATCTTCCACAATGAGAATATATGGTAGATTCCCCAGATGTCTATTCTGGAAGACTTCTAATCAGTTTTTCATCAGCTCAGCCACCATCCATCCACTCTTGTGGTTCACTCCCAATAGTACCTTTGAAGAAATTCCTATTCTGAGACACTGTTTACAGTTTAAAATTAAATATGGTGGCAACTTCAGCAATCAGCAGCTAGACATAAGAGCACAATGATATGCTGCTTTTTATAACCTGGATTCATAATCCTGATATCCTTAAAGATCCTTTTGCATTGACAGTGTAATTTTAAGTCTTGCCAAGGAAAACCAATTCCCAACTCTCTAGCATTACTTCTTTGGTTAAACGCATATTAATATTTTCATTTTTCCTTGATGACATGCTGAAAGTGTTTTCTGTTCAGTCAGCAGGATGTTTCTGAAAAACTGATATTGTACATCTTAATGACAATACTGTGCAATGCATGATTTGTTTACTCCAGGCTCTTACTGTGCTGAGATTTTTTTAAATCTATTTTGAGGGATTTGG